ATGGCAAAATTTTCGCTTTCAACTCCAGAATGCGAAATAAGGGTGATCGCGCATGCGCGCCCTTCTTCACTTAGCCAACAACCGGACCCTCAATCGCCAAAAACCTGAATGACTTACATTGAAAGACAAGTAGCAACCTTTGACCTTTCTGTCACGTACTTTCCTCTCTTAAGGTCAACTAACAATGAAAATTCTTTCTCGAACATTCTAAAGGACAAAGCGCGCGAAATCATGACTTGGCAAAATTGCCTCCCTTTCCCTGCTTCTTTCACAATGAATAAAAGTTTGTACAAGATTTGCAAATAAAAGAAAATAAATAATATTCATTTAAACTAAATAATATTTCCAGAAGCATCCGTTTTTCCCCAAAATTAAAGCCTTAAAATAAATAATTCATAATCAAATAAAAATTAAGATTTCCATAATCATAAAATCATTCACATAGTTTTTATAACGCTATCAGACAAATTCTCTACATAACAAGCTTTGGGATGTTTTATCTTATTCCAATAATCAAATGATTTCTCTTCTTGGGTCCCTTATGAAATTTAAATATTTCAATCCATTCTTAATAAGCATATTATTCAAAATGATATTTGATTATAATTTGTTGTTGTTGGTCAGGCTTGTATTTTTAGACAATTCAGCTCCTTTCGCTGTTTATTTTTTCGTAAATTTCCCATGACTTGCTGTAAGAATATTAAAAAAAATTGAATCAATCTCTTTTTGTATAGTTTAATAATATTTTTGAAAAAGATAGGAGTCTTCTAAGGTTAATACCATTGACTTCCTTCTGCAAAGGGGTGCTTTGAGATAATTGGTTAAGTTTTAAATATTTTCTTTTTAATCGTTTAAACGTCTAGAATTTATACTTGTCTAGTTAATTCGAAGTTACGCTCATCTTCTTATCTAAAGTCCACCAGAAACTGACTGATAAGATCGCTTAGCACCGGTAGTTCGATCCTAGTTCGAAGGTTAGTGAACGGACTGGCTCGTAGTTTACCTGTGTGTAACGTGAATATAAGTTAGATTCCCTTAAAACATCCTCCATGAAGACATCCTAAACCCTTAGACAGATAGCCCTGGTATGTTTTACCATAATCCAAATAATCTAGTCGAACCCTGCTTAATTAAGTCTCTTCTCTGTAATTTATTTTCGTAGCATGTAGCGCACTACTTAGCCATTCTCGATTTTTTCTTGAACCAATTTTAACCTCGTTATTTGTTTTCTTTTATTTCAATGAATATTATTTGAATCGAGCATACAAATAACTTTCGCAGAAGACTTGTAAAAGATTAGGCTCAGTTGATTATGGCAAAGCACACCAGGGCTATCTGACTAAGGGAAGGGATGCCTTCATGTATAACTTTCTAAGGGAAACTGGATCGTAAACACGTTAAACATGGAGAAAACCGCGAAATCATCCACGCACCCAGCCCGTTCGCAAGAACTCGAACCCAGCGTCGGAACTACCAGTGTTTATCGATTTTACCACTCTGTTGCTTCTGGGTGAAGTCTTGTAGAAATTATTCAATATGAGTATGAAACGTTAAAAAATCAATTATACTCTATACGGGAAGCGAGCTATAAAATAGACATTTCTTAGTTAGTAGTGATAATCCCACTCACAACAAGAGCACGCACGGAATAATGTATTAGTTTCTTGCATTTTCCCGCACTTAAAGAGCCACTGGGAAGAGACACGAGACCTAGTCGATTAATTCTAGATGCTCATCAGTTATTACTGAACATGTTTCAGTTCGTGTTCCTCTGTAGAGTATGGTAGGCTTTCCAAAATAACAACTATGAAGCATCAGCTGTACCCTCAGAAGACATACAGCAGTTATTCTTTTAGTTGCTATTTGAAAGACTCACTTATACTCCATGAGCATGCAGAAAAGAAAATTTAATAAATAATTCCTTAAGATTTATCTAGAGAAAACACCTAACTGAAAAAAAGCCGCAAACTTTACATGTAGTTATCATATTTCTCGAGAAATAAAACCCTAATGAAAACTCCTAAACCTAACAAATGCTTAATAATTAAAACAATTTAAAGAATCATTGAGAAAAAATTTAAATTAATCCATTAAAGTAATTGCTACAAAAAAGCTGCAGTGTCTACAAGTATATTTCATTTTTAAAAACATGTGTATTTTATATTAATTAAACAAGCAATAAACATTTAAAGATAAATAATCAATCAAAATTTTTAAACTACTTTTGTTTGTTTTCTGAATTTTCAATGGATTTTTTATTGCTTTTACAAGAAAAAAGTGTATCTATATTTCGTTCGTTTCATTAAAAAATACATTAAATTTTTGGTAAGGTAGAAATATTTTAATATTCTGAAGTGGAAAAGTAGTCTTTTATCTTAAAAAACGAATTAAAATTATAATGAAAAGATGGGTGAAAATAAATATTTTGATGGATAATAGTAAGGATGTTAGAAGCGATATGTTGGAATTTAGAGAGAAAACTGGAGTCAAAATAAAAGATGCGAAAATGACAGTAGATGACAAAGGATGTGAAAATGACAGTCTGAAGAATTAAAGAATGAAGAAATGAAGGAAATAGCTAACGAACTGTCTGAGAAAGATCAAGAAGTGACGGATAAAACATCTAACGAGATTGAAGAAAGAGAATGAAAACATGAAGAAATAAACGACGGAAAAGAAATTTCTGATTTGAGGTTAAAATGAAAGAAAGTGATAATACTGTTTTAAAGAAGAAGAAATAGAAGAAGTGGTTAGTAAAGCGTCTGAAAAAGGTGAAGAAATAATTCATGGAAATAAAGTTTCTGATTCTTAAGTGCCTGAAATAGAGATGGAGGAAAGTGAAAATGCGAATTTTAAGTTGGTAGAAATTGGCAGAGAAGTACGAAACACGCGTTCGCAAGTATTGAAACATATGAAAATTCATCTGATGCAGAGATGGGATTGATGTACAGCTTCCAGTATTGCAAGGGAATACACATACTTCGCAGCTAAGTGGGTGTCTCATAATACAATTGTACAGACACAAACTTGATTCTAAGCCAGGTTACTTCTGTTTGTAAAGAATCGAATTCTATTCATAGCTCTAATGCAAAAGTCTTAACTGCTTTTCAGGAAATAGAGGAAAATAAACATGTACCAGTTTCTGAAAATAACGAAATGAACTGTACACATGATGCGAATAAACTACAGAGTGGTGAGCAAATTGCTTCAGATCTTCCTGGGGATGAAAAATCTGAAAGGACTAAATCTTCAAACTATGATATGCAAAACAGAAATGCATCTGAGAACTGCAGTGAAAAAGTATTTAACCCGGGTTCATCTTAATGAAAAGCCTGAGCCTGAAATTCATTCTGAACTTTAATTATATATTTTAAAATTGATATGCCTTTAATTTGTGAATGTAACTTATAAATAGTGTAAATATTTACTTCTTTTATTTCTTTTATTTGTTTAGTTACCTTTTGCTTGTACTGAATTTGTCATCTGACCAAGGTTTATACTGCCCGGGACGTGCAGTCCTTGGGAGGGGCAGTATTACGAAATGCCCGGCTGCGGTAAGATAGCTTCCCCGCAAAGCGGGATTAGGGTTTCCAAAAAGTGGCAAGGAAAGGCAGGGTTGTCAGACTTGGCGACGTTTGGCCATATGCCACAGACAGAGTGGGAACATTCTAAAAAGAATCCTTACTAGTGTGGCCGAGATTGTTCTTGATGGCAGGTCAAAAGCATTATATACCCTGACTGTGCGCGGACTAGTAGTATCGAGGGTATGTTGAGTTCATTAGTAGTGTTTTGAGTCTAGAGATTAATTCGAGAGCGATCGATCGAGTCTGGAGCTGTACTTTAGTGCTTTGCCGTGAAGGTGTCTTCACTGTTATAGCTTGATAGTCTGAAGGCTATGTTGCTGATTGTTTCAGAGTATTTATCGTAATTTTCCGACGACTGTAACGCGTCTTTGGAACTGTCCTTTGTAACACTGACGAATAAACGGTGTTTTGATACTTCATCAAGTGTTGTCATCAATCACTCTAAATCCACGAACAAGTAGAACGCAACAATATATATACCGTAGTGCCTTCTATAATGGAACCTCTATTTCAAGCAAAGTTTAATTGGCCCTAGTCCCTTTGATGTATTTACCTCATCGTTTTGATAGATTATCTTAATGTATTTACTTTTATTAAGAGACACTAAAAAATGTTTTAAAAATAAGATAGAGCTAGATAAATAAATTAAGTATAAATATTCTTTGTTAGTAATCTTTTGAGGTTTCAAAGTTTGTACTCAGTGAAACATAGCTTTGTGACAAAGGAACAATAAAAGGAAAAGTTAATCCCTCTCTTTTAAAAACTGCTTTTCGGTAAAGAAAGTTTAACAGTACATTGGGGAAAAGCAAGTTATGGTGCAATCAAAAGGATATTTCACGTTCGTAGAATTCAAAATCCAGTTATTACTGCTACAGTTCTCAGTATGGGGAAAGAGAATAGTGTCATCAAGTTGCAAGGCAGTTCAACACAGGGAACAATGGAAAAGGTATGATATAACTGGACCAAGTACCAATCCACCGCGATCTCAGAATATTGATAGCTCTTCTTAGGAATGGGGAACAAAAGAAGTGCAAATTCAGAAGTCAAACAACAAAAATCAGCGTTATATTTTCAAATTTTTACAGTACTAGTTCAAAGGCAAGCTTGTACTCAGTGAAACATAGTTTTGTGACAAAGGAACAATAAAAAAGTACTAGAAGTACTATGTATAAAAAAGTACTTTCAAATTTTCACAGTACTAGTTTCACCATCGAAACTAGTACTGTTAAAATTTGAAAATATAACGCTGATTTTTGCTGTTTGACTTCTGAATTAGTATTTGTTCGGCGTGTTATTGTGTCTTAATTAAAAGAAGTGCAGTTTTATATTTAACAGTTACTTTACATGCGTTTTCTATCATAGCCTCAAAGAGGGAAAGATTATTATTAAAACAAAAAGTTAATATAATTCTTATAGCAAAAACTGAAAAGATTAGTTTGAGAGATTTAGAGCAGAAATCTGGAATTAGTAAAAACCGAGTAAGTCATTTGCTAAAGGGTAGAGAAGAAATAAAAATATTATAGGTTAGTAAATTTCAATGAACATTCCAAGACTAAAATTTAGAAAAACTTAATTTATACAGTAATGTTCATTTGCTTTTGCTCTGTAAGAGCAATCAATATTTCTAATAGAGTATTATTTCAAGAAAATGCAAACGCTGTTTCAGAAAGACTAAGACTACAGAACTTCAAAGCAACAAATGGTTGGTTAGACAAATTTAAACATAAACATAACATTACTTTTAAGTTTATTTATGGTGAATAAAAACAAGTAGGTATGCA